ACAGGGTCTCCATATGTGGTGCCGGCTGCCCGTGGACTCACTTGTGTAGCCACAGCAGGTCTCAAACTCAATGACCCTTCTGCCTCAGCCTCTCCAGTGCTGGGATGATAGGAGTGCACTACTGTGTGCAGTGCTCAGAGGGATTTTTTAAAAAACCCATCACAGGGCTGGGGAATATAGCACAGTGGCACAAGCACCTGCCTGGCAAGCACAGGGTCCTGAGTTTGATTCCCAGTACAGAAACAAAGGAATTACATCCAGTATCGTGGTCCACACCTGTCATCCTCGCACTTGGGAGGCTAAGGCAGGAAGAACTCTGAGTTTGAGACCAACCTGAGCTATAAAGTGAGCTCAAGAGCAGCCTGGACTCTGCATAGCGAGACCCTGTCTCAAAAAAAAAAAAAAAAAAAAAAAAAAAAAAAAAAAAAAAAATCAAACTCTCACAAATTTCTTACAGGATGGAAGCCCTGAGGAAACACCACCTAAGAAGGCCACAAGGCACTTTACAATTCCTAAGCAACTTCTAAGGAAAGTAGTAAGAAGCATCATAATAATCCAGTTCTCTGAACCCAAAGAGTAACTCTAAAAATGGGTGGATAAAAATGCATCCAAACTCGCAAACTCACAAGCAGGGCAGTATTCAGGGGAAGAGCCACCTCGCTTATTGAGTTTTAGGATCCATTTTAGAATGACCCTGCCTAGACCTCTGCATGTCCTGTGTGTCTTCAGTGAACTTTTTAAATCTAGTACACAGAGAACCAAGGTTCTAGAAAGTGAGGGCCCAGCTTCTTGATGCAAAAGGACCTGACTCCTGGCTAACAGTGGCACACCCGTGTAACCCCATCATCCAGGGAGGCTGGGCACAGCAAGTTTAAGCCCAGTCCAAGCAATTTAATGTCTTGAGGGCCAGCCAAATAGCTCAGCCAATTAAAGTACCCTCAAGCAGGTGCAGGGGCTGGGGTTCAATCACTAGGCCTGCCATGCTGGCCCCCCCCCCCCGTGGGGTGCACTGAGATGGCAACTGAGACTGGGAGTGGTGGCGTGGGCCTATAATCCCAGCTCTTGGGAGGCCATAATAGGCAGATAACTATGAGTCTGATCTAGTAGTGAGACCCTGAACACCCTATAGACCCTTCCCTAAAATACAAAA